ACCTCCTTAGATGAAAGCTTCCAAAACCCAGTTTCACAATGCAGTATGTCTGAAATTACTAGACTTTTCATTTTGTTTCCTAAAGTCATGGATAGTCAATTGTGAACCGTACGTTGCAGCAGCAGAAAAGAGACAATATGAATGAAATTCAGGCACCTAAATACAAGTGTCTGGTGCTATTTTTCCGGTGCTATGTTCAAGGATATCTGAAACATCCGCACTCGGCTGTCCTGTGTGACACAGAATGAACAGGAAACACACTTCTTAGGTCATGGTAGAATAGGTATCTAAATTAGTATTAGATGCCCACATTTAGGCAAATAAATCTCTGCAAAATAAAATAAATCTCAATTTTTCAAAATACAGAATTCATTTAATCTTTAAATTTCATGTATCAGCTTTGTACTCTGATAAGAAAAATGGAATGCTGCTGTCTTGATTCTGACTAGGTATGTTGTTTCTTTTTGCCCAAAATAACTATATCTCTCTTCCTCTTTGCATGTATCTGGAGACTCTTACTGTCCTTTGTCTGGTATTATTATCCTTTGCAACAGCTCAGAAATAGCTGAGACTTGTGAGTGGTGTGGCTGTTTGTGAGAAGTCATTTTAGCTCTACATTTCTTGTTGAGTTTTGTTTTGTTTTTATGCTTGTATTTTTTTTTCCCACTCTACAAAATGGCTAGTGTTAAAGGCTCTTGAATCTGATTTCCCAGCAACTCACATTACGGAAACTGAACTTCTACATGCTGGATAAACACAATGAGTACCACATAGCATAATCGCCTGCACCCTTCCCTCCATAATAATTACTTGTTTGTGTGCAGTATTCTGAAGGTGTATAAGGTCAGAAATTATGTTCTTTGTGTAAGGCGGAGTTCCAGAAAAAGTACTGTACTGTAAAAAATATCAGCAGTACTCTGCTATTGTGAAACACCACCTGTTTAATTCACCTAAATATTTTATCACTTCTGTGATGTTTAAAGTTGGCCACTCTTCACAGTAGTTACTTCAGAGGAACTAATAAAACATTAATTATCACAAATATTTACAAGGTATTAATAAGAACAGAGAAATGTATTAAAAGAAAAATGTTTCTTCCATTACAATGCGATCATTACAAATGTTTGGCAATGCTAAATCAGTTCCCAGAGACTTGTCAATTCGTTTTCATAAATAACTGCAGCTGTATATTATGCAGTTCATTCATTCATATCTACCAAGCAGATTACATCTAGTCCAGTAGATTTAGACCCATTAGATGAAGACTAGCCACTGCAATCCATACATATGTAATATTCACCCTGGACTATTACAGTTCTCTCTAGGAAGGAGCTTTGTGCCTTATAGAAGTTCAAGGTTGGCCAGTGCAGATCGCATCGCTTGATGCACAGTTTATTACAGATGCTGCTGAATGACTGATTTCATGCAGCCTTAGTGCAAGGGAGCAGAAGCCAGTATGTCACACTGTCTGACCTGCATCTCCCAATCCCTTCATGCCATTCAGTCAACCCTACGCTGAACCTAATTATTTGGTTTTAGCTACAGTGACCTTTCAGAAATCATAAGCTGTTGATTTGATTTGATTGATTTTAAGGTATCATTCTTATTCTAAAACCCTGCACAGAATTTCTGTGCTTGTGTTACAGTTCAAGGCAAAATTCCAGCAGGGAGATATTCTGGGCAGAGGACAAAGCTGACACAGGGAATCACAGAACTTGCTATTGAAATAGCAAACACTTTTGTCAAAGCTAGCAATAAAATCCATCCCTCTACTCAATTTTCTTACCAAAGTATGCTAAAGTTTTCATGCTTTTTGTCAGGTAAAAATTCCCAAGCCCAAACCACACAACAGGAGAAAACAGTGCAAATATGCTTCTTGATACTAAGTGCATAAAAGGAAAATTAAGTTGGGGGAAACACCAGAGTATTACTGTGCTGTGGTTTGGGTAAGTACATGCAGAGGGAGTTTCAGATTAGGTTGAAAAGCAGCTTCTGGAAATGACTGAGACTGGTGTAACTGATTTAATCCTTTGGAACCTTATCTTCAACAAAAGATAGACATTTTAACAGTAATTTAAACTGTGAGCTACAAAAACAGGCAAGAATCCTCACAAAACATTAAACCATAGGTAATTTTCAAAGAGTTATGCACTATTGCAAAGAAGCTAGCTAGTGATGCCTCTACTTATGTTTATTAGAGAAATTTGCCCCCCCCCCCCCCCCCCCCCCCATGAGGTACTGTCCAAGAGATGGGTCAGGTTTTGAATTTAAAAATGGGCATTTGAAATGCTCAAGAAGGAGAAAGGATGCACAGCTCATTGTAACAGGACCATATATGTGTGTTCCACATTTTCTATGAACATTAAGATAATAAATAAGACATGAATTACAAATTCAGGCTTACGTCTTGGGCATGCCTTTTTACTGGACAAATAAGTTTTGGGGTTTATTTTCTTCCCTTAAGGTTATTCTTTTTATCATTACATTTGATGCAATTTATTTTGGGCTGCTGGTAGAGAATGTATTGGGAGACCAGACTTTGGCTTGATTATAGCCTTGCACTGGAAAAAATAGCTACTTCTGTAGCTTCAGTCTAGTACTTCAGTGGAGAAAACTTTTCACGGCTACTGAAGCTGTGACAGAAGATGGTGTAAAGGTATGATATTAGTTCTCTCAGTGAAACCATCATTGAGCAATTACAGTGAAGCTTTTTATGCAGCCATTATACATATAAAACCATACTGAAGACATCTTGATAACAGCAAGGGGAGATGTGTGGAAGGGTGAAATACCCCCCCCCCCCCCCCAGTTTTCATAGATAATCACAGAGAGTTTGAATTTTTTAAACCTTCATTTTGTCAGTAATAACTGTGAAAGTTTACTCTAATTAAAAGCATAATTTTGCCACATTAATCAAGTGCCACAGTTCTAAATAGCGCACAGGCTTTTGAGACATGGAGAGCTTGATTTCCTGGAAGTGGGGTGCATACTGAATACCTTGAATCCATTGGGGTTTTCCACAATATATATTTTTAATTTTACCTGATAAACACCTGGACATGATTAGGGCTAACAAACTTTATTAAACAGAAAACAAAACTACTCAGTCAACGACTGAAGAATGCTCAGAAAATCAGTTTCAGGGAAATGTTAAGCCTTAGAACAAGGAACATTGTGCTGCAGAAGCATAGCAAGTATCAAAAACCAGACTAGGCAGCTTAGATGTACTTAAGACAAGAGGGAAGCCAAATGACACAGTTCAACAAATACTTTGGTGTCAGAGCTTAGAAGAAAGCTGCTAGCCTTTTGGTATCAACACTATTAATCGTCCAGAGATTACAGGGTTTGTACTTGCTCAAAGGAAGAGTTAAAAAGGGTTACACCTGAATTGAGTCTAGGTCAAGCGCTCTCAGGTATCTAGCCAAGCTCTGGCAATTTTTTATATCCTTGCAGTTGTTTGCAAAGAGAGACAGTAAGTCAGGAGAAACTTCAGCTTTGCATTCTCATCTATGCAACCTTTCCAATGCTGCACTGGAACAGCCGGTGTAGGTCTTTCCCTGCCTCAGTTTCCCACTGACTGTATTTTTCTCATATAATGCTATTCCCGCAGAAAGTACTGAAAGCAACAAGCATCAGGACAGATGATGAGAAGAAAAAAAAATATTTTTAAGACACTGCTTCTTAAATTACTACAGCCAAGTGAAATTATAATAGTATTACATTTCTTATTGATCTTACAAGTGGCGTTTTTCCTGTCATGATTCATTAGAACCCTAGCAAAGTTATTTTGAAACATAGAAGTATTTATTTGCTAATATGCTTTCTAATTGTGTTTTTTCTTTGCCTGCCATTTTAGAACAATTAAATGACTAAGCCAGAGACAGAAAAATGTACCATGTGTGTCAGGTTGCAGCTATGTAACAAGTTGCACAGACTGGGTGAAAAGTCAAAGCATATTTTCTTTTCATGGCTGAACTTTTATAATGCTGATTAATATCAGCATACAATTGTCACTTGAAGGTTTTTGTCTCTTCCTGACCTCAGTTTTCTACCTAGAGCACCCAGACCAGCTCTCCTTCCTTCCATTCTTTTGAAGACAGTGAGGTTTGACATGCCACATTTATGACAGTGAATCAATTGGTCAAAAAATAGTGGTCTGATCTGTGCAGTTGTGTAAAATCATAGCTGTTCACAAACAGTGAGCAAATCCAGTCAATCATCTGACAATGTAATATCCCAGATGTTTGCCAGTCTCTGTATGTAAGAATTGTTAACTTGAGCTTGCATTGCTGCTGCCAGTGTAACAGAGAATGAGCTGTTCAGAGAAGGAATCCTTCATTTCAGTGAAAATAAGCGTCCTGCAAAATCATCTGTGACTCAGCCAAAATGAAAGCTGTATTGTTTCTGAATCAGAAAAATATTTTTTCAGAATTGAAATTTTGGCATGTGTGTCACTATTTCTTCGGTGGCTTCAGGAAAACATCAAAGCACACATCCCACGTATTTTCACCAGTCTGACTTCACAGCTATTGGCCCTGAGCACGCTAAGTACAATCAGAAGGCATCTACCTTCAGCTGTTTTTGCCAGAGGCTGGACTTTAACTATTTGACTTTCTAACAAACTGGCCGATTTACACACTTTTACCCACTCTGTTTGGTGCTATCAAACTATTCTTCATACAGTGAGGGGGTAATTTTATTTTTCAATGGCAAGAATGCCCATAAGGGCGGCCACGGAATTGCTACATAGGATTCTGTGTACATAAAGAAGGACAGGAGCTGGCTTCTTCAGCGGCGCAGGCTGCTGTGAAGGAGCCCAAGGCACAACGGTAAACCACTTTCCTCTCTCATTAGAGCTGAGGCTGAACGCGATCGCTGGGCCCGACTGGGAACCCAGCCTCCCGCCGAGAGCTGCTTGTTTGGCACAAACGTATGGGTCTGTCCTCCGGCCTTGTTCATTCCTTATTTCTCTAAGGCATAACCATAAATCCCCGACCTCACAGAGGGATGGGGTAGCTTCATTAATGATTTGTCAGGCGCTTAAACAAGCGCCAGGCCCCTCAGGCAGTGCGCGTCCGGGCCCCGATGCGCGCCCGTGTGCCAGGGGCCGGCCCAGCCCGGCAGAAGGTTACCGGCCAGGCCCAAGCCAACTCCTGAGCAGTCAAGGGGCAGCGCTCCCCAACCTCGGCCGCCCTGGCGCTCTGTCAGGCCAGGCTCGACGCTCCGAACGGGTCGGGTGACACCGCGACCTCGAGTCCCGGGATGAGGGAGGGGGAGCCGCGCACCTGCCGGGGCCCGCCCCGCTGTGCGGCCAGGGAGCGGAGCGCAAGGCACCTCCCGCCCCGGCGCGGCGGCGGCAGCCGAAAGGGCACGGCTCGGCCCCCGCCCGCCACAGCGTGGTGCCGGCGGCCGCCCGCCCCCGCCCGCGCACGTGTGCCGGGGAAGGCGTTCGGTGCCGTTCTCCGCCCGGGCGGCGCTTCCCCTCGCTCCCCGCCACCTCCCCCCTTCGCAGCGGGAGCGGAGAGCAGCCTCCGCCCGACACGCCCGGCAGCGCCGGGGCCGCTCGCCGACGTGCCTCCCGCGCGGGCGGCCGCCCTGCCAGGACGTCGCCGGCGCCGATGGCCGCCCCGCTGCCCGGTGTGCCGCGCGCCTCAGGGACGGTGGCGGAACCTGAGGGCGGCGGCCCCCACGGCGCAGTGGGCTCCCCCTGCCTGCTCCCCCGATCCCCCGGGGGGGACCCGCCGCCCTCGCCCCCTGACAGGTAAGGCCGGACCCCGGGAGGGCACCGCCGGCCCTGCCTACTCCCTCGAGGGCCCGCCTGTCGCCGTCTAGGGGCTGGCCGGCGCCCTGCGGGCGGGAGCGGGGCCGGAGGGGCCTGAGAGTGCGGGTGCCCCGCGGCTTGGTAGCGGCGGTGTGGGGAGGGGGCCAAGCACAGGCGCGGGGCGGCCTGGCCCGGGACCGGCACGCGTCTCCCTGGAACTCCAAAGTTGTTTCCCGGCCCTGCAGACACTTCCCTGCGCTGCAGCTGCGTGGCGTCCGCACTCCCAACTCCCCCCCCCCCCCCGCCCCTTATCTTCTTTTTAGAGATTTCCCAGTTTGAGGTGAAAAGAGACGATGTTGGCGAGCCTGCCTTGTCACACCGAACCGAGCCTTTACTTTCTCTTTGCAATGTCTTGTCTTACAATATTCGTGAGATAAAACGGCTTCACCGTTAGCGATGCCGCTGTAATTGCTGTCAGCGAAGTGCACCGTTTGCTGCCTCTGAGGCTGTTCTTAAAGGCACTGGTCTCTATTCTTAGTAAGGGAAACTGTGAGCTAGGCTTTTCATGAAGCGTTTGATCAGTTTTGGTAGACTGAAATTTGCGGAATCTTAAAATATTGCATATGGGATTTTTCACTCCTTAATGCTAGATAGCACTTTGAGTGAATATTCAGTGAGGATTTCCAGAAAGTAAAGTGTCTTCATTCTGCATCATTACCTTACTCTCATGGTTTTTCCCACATTGTACCAATTAGTATGTGAAATCTGGAATGATAACAATAAGGTAACAAAGCTTGGAGTCATCAACTCACACATACAGAAAATATGTAGGCAGACTGGGTGCTGCTGTCCAAATGAAAGCAAGTAGACAAAGTGCTGTTGAGTATTTTCTGTGAGAAAACCATGCACTGTAACGTACACAGCCATCTAAACAGCCACGTTATTAAGGTGATACTTTAAATCAGTGCATAACTGAGCTCTTCAGCAAGTACAGGAGTGATTATCTTCACTAATCTTGCAAATGCTGCTTGGTGATGCTTCAGACACAATCAGATTTAAGGAGTCAGCAACTGCTGAGACATTTATTTTGTGACGGAGCTATGGAGATACAAATACATAAGTAATTGAAAACAGGAAGGAGTGTATTGCTTTGCAGTATTTTGCCTTGTCAGTCGCTTTGACTCCTGATGAAAAAAAAAGTTTCCATCGGTTTAAAATACAGTTGTGATGTACTCAAGAAGTATTACTGAGAAGTTACGTGCATCCACTGTTGTAATATGTGTACATAGGGAATGGCATGAACACAGGGACAACAAAATATTTACTAATGTCCTTAGGAGCCAATACAAATATAACTGTGCTCCTGCTCTGCAAAGACTTAAACATATTCAAACAACTTTATATTCAGAGCTGTATACTTGGATTGCTTTCAAGTAGTGTTAAGCACTGTATGTTAATAGATTCAGCCTACTGATTAAATAAAATAACTGCATAAAGAATCTAATTGCTGCAACCAGGAAGCATTGTGGTATTAATGCCCTAGTATTTCATGCGTTGTGGTTGGATACTGCAATTTTAACAGCAGTTGCTACAATTTGATACATTTGTATCGAAGTGTAACAATTTGTTATGTTTGATATTATGTATTTTGCTGAAATAGGAGAAAACAGAAAGATGACAATATTTTGGAGATCTCATCAATTCCAAACCCTTTTCCTGAGCTCTGCTGCTCTCCATTTGCATCAGTTTTGTCAGCCAGACTGTTGTCCAAGGAAACTTCAAGAAAAAAGCAGGTAAGATTTCTAAATTATTATTTGACAAATTATAGGTTGGTTTCATGAAAGCTTGAGGAAAAAGCTCAGTTACCTATTAAGTTATTTTTCTAATAAAGGTGTTCTATATTTCTGTAATTTGGTGAAATTTTCTCTGTAGGTCACTGATGATTGTAGAAAATGAGGTTTTGGAACCTGTGACTCTAGATGTGACTGTTCTTTCACAGAGCCTACATGTGACTGTGAAAATTTTTCGGGTAAAGCGGAAGCAGGGGCAGGCAGGCAGTACTTTATGTCCTTAAACGAGAAGTTAATGTCTTTCTTCCCTTCCTCCCAACCTCCAATTACTGTCATCAGTGCTATAGCACAGAGAAATTTAACAGCCATTGAGCAGCTTCTTTTGTCTGGAGGTCTAATTTTGGTAGGATAATTGAATAAAACCAAAATTGATGGGGAAGGAGCAAATGCTGTGTACATGGCATATATTTTATATGCAGGTGTGTTTATTTGTCTACAGCTGATCTTACTGTATTTCCATAAATACCTTAAAGTGTAAACCAAGGGAAGTTCTCAGTGGGCAGACAGACCTGGCAGTGCTTTGTCTTGGTTCTATTCACACACAATTTAAAAGTTATCCTGAGCAGGGGTAGAGATTAAAGAGGAAATTTCCAATTAATGGAAATTACTGGTGTTGAAGGTCTCTTTCACTCTAAAAGCTTACATTCTGTTTTCTTTTCTTGAGCCTGGAAGGAGTTCTGACAAGGAACAACTGTAGGATTAAGGGTACCACCTCCTTCACATTCTCAGTGGTCTGCAAGACCCTGTCTTAACAGTTTTAGGGGTGATATTGGGGGTGTACGAACTTACACTGCTGTTGGTTATTCAGTTTTTAGATTTGCATGAAGAAATTGTCTGGAAGTTGAAGTTTCTTGTAGTTGTATTAACTTTTTCTGAAGCTGACCAGTCATGGCTGTTTCTGTGCGCCTGCCAGAGAACTTTATTGGCAAAGTCCTGGCTGGCACCTTAAGGAGGAGCCTTATCCCTGCTTCTCCAGTGAAAAACATGTATGTGTCTGGGAAACTGACTCTATCTTGCCATATTTTGTATGTTCTCTAAAAATAGCTGTAGTGTTCTTCTGGAGTACTTTTATGGCTTTTTAGTTCTTTCTTACAATAGTAAAACTAATCTGAAGCATTTCTGGTCAGTGTGTATCTAAACATTGCTGAAGCAGTGGCTAAAACTGTGATAGTTTTGTGCTTGGGCAAGGTAGAAGCATTGGCTGTCTGTAGAGGCAGGAAAAACACTGTACTGGTAACATCTTTCTGAACATAAGGACTAGAAGCCACATTAAAGTATTACTTTAAATTACGCATGTTGCTGGCCTAAGTTGCAGTTACTGTAGTAACTTTTGTGCTTGCAACTGGTTAGTAGATTTCCCAAGCAAGGTTTAACACACAAAGGTCAACTATCTGCTTTTGTGGCCTGTCATGGTTAACTTTACTGACTGGCTTGAGCAGTTAAGCCAGACAAGTGTTAGCTTCAGTCTCTCAGAAGCTGGAGTTCATAGCTTTGCTGATTTCATGTCTGTTTCTTCGTAAAGATTCTTGTCATACATTTTGTGACAATTTCTGCTCATAGTCCTTCCATTTCTGTTGGTTTTCCATTTAAGAATGTAGTGTTCTCTCTAGTAAAAGTAGGATCAAGAACAGCTCATTTACTGACAGAAGTGAGCTAAAATAATAACGGTGCTAAAATAATATGAAGGGCCTGATACATTTTCCAGTTACCAGAAGAACTAAGAGGAATCTTCCTTTTATTTAAAGGAGGCATTTTAACAGGACAATGTTTTCTGTCAAAAAGCCTTTCACCAAGGTATCTGTTTATGGCCACTGAAGGATAAATAATACTGGGCTAAGAAGACCTTTTGTCAGACTCAGCATGACTGTTCTTAAGTTCTTCATTTAAAGTTATTAAAGGCTGAGGCCAAATGGCAACTGTTGAGTTAAACTTTTATCTTTGATTCAGGTTGAAGTCTTCTAATATATTTATAAAATTACTTAGGTTTGAAAAGGAGAGGGGTGTGCAAAGAGGAGAGGTGAACTGGCTGTGGCTTTGACTTCCCACAGTTGTGGAGGTTGTGCTTGGAAATATCATATTTCCACCCCATGTTTGTATTTTGCCAGCTTTGTAACAACTCTGTCTGCAAATACTCAATCCATATACAAAAATTTCATTGTATGCAGCCCCCAAGGTCATGAATATTACTGTTACAGTTTGATAGTTTCTGAACTCCTAAGAGAAACCAGCTACATTTAAGCACTTTTAAAAAAATCTTAATATTGTTGGCAGATTTTTTTCTATTGCCTCTCTGATGATCTACATGTTTTTTCAGTGATTCTTCTTTTAGATTGCTTTCTTTCTGATTTAGTTTCTGCTGTGTCTTTATTTTCAGGCATAATGAAGAAAAATTACAGAGTGAATTTCTACTTATATCTAATAGGTAACTATTATCAAAATAGGCTTTTCTAAAAGAAAAAAAGAAGTTATGCCTCTTCTGTCTTGTTTTTCTCTCCAGAAAAGATTTTCTATTTCCCAGGAAAAAAGAAGTTGTCACAAATATCTATTCTCTTATTCATAACACCTATGACATCTGAAATCTTTTCTCTTCTGAATAAATAATTAGCATTATTTTGAATTCTTGTTTTTCTAAGCTGAAGTTCTTTCCATATTCTGATGATCTTTTATCATAAGCCTCTCAAAACATGGAACACGCTTCTTGAACAGCATGTTTGTTTGTGGGGTCAACTTACTGGAAATAAGTTTATAAAAGCAAATTGGTAAAAGCCATGTAGGAGAATAGTGAGTTGCCCCTGCGCTTGGGAAGGAGGACATCTGTGTGTCTGAATATTTTTTGGTCTGCCTCATCAACACAGCTGTCCATCATCTTTTCCTTCCTGCAGTTTTGAAAGAGTTTTGTGTTATATCCCCACAGACTCATAATCATGACATGGTGAGAGTAATTAGAACAAACCTTGAGAGGCGACCTCGACTGTTTTGTTCTCTTTTAAATTAAAAAAGAGGGGGAATGGTGGAGATCAAAATAAGGAGTAAAAGTATAGAGTCAGTATAGTGACAAATTTTATTATCCTAGAGGAAGGTTTAGAAGCTGGGAGAACAGGAAGTACAGGCCCACACTGAGGTGCTGAGAACTGCAGGCTTCTGCATCCTATGAGCTGTTCTCAGTGGAGCATTTCCTGGAGTTGACCCTATGGAACTGATGTTATGATATCACACCCATGTTTGGGAAGGTGGAACTTTGAGATGTTTCACAAGTTGGAGTGGGATTATGTGTTTAATATCCTCATCCTCAAGGGAATGATGTAGAGATGAAACCTGAAACTGAACATATGGATGGCAAGATTACTTTGTGGATTGTGTAATCCATTCTGTAAGAAATCATCAAGTTTAGTATCCTTGGAAGAAATGTAGGAGGTACTTGGGTGCTTTGGGCATGAATTATATTATACTTGTATATGTTCAGGTAAACTGCATTTTGTGCTTCAGGGTGCAAGACTTTTATTTGAAAAGACCAAAATCCCAGCTTTTTGCTGATGTTCGGCCCAGCATGATCAACTAGGTGCATGTAGGAAATGTTGGCTATGGAGGAATTGATCGTATGCTGTTACTAGGAGTTTGTGAATTTATGTGAAATATCTAATTGTGTCTCAGAGTCTGTGTTCTCCCAGAAGTGACAAGACACTTAAAATATAATCGACTTTGTACTTTTGTCCCTAATTATGATCAAAATGGATACTGGTAGGGAAAAAATATTAACTGTAAGTAAACATGTTCTGTTCTTTAGTATGCTTTTGGTTTTCTTTGGTCAAATGAACTAAAAAGAGGTTACTATAGTTTTATGAAGGCTTAGTTTTGAAGTCTTTCTGAAATCAAAACCTGAATCATTTGCACTGGAGTGATAGTTCTTGCCCTGATCAAGGATAAGCCAGAAAGTGTTTCATCACAAAAGTAGTTCAAGGTAATTAGTGCCTTGTGTCTTTAAATTAAATTAGAAGTGCAAAAATAAAACTCAAGTAAATCTCAAGGTGAAGAACACTCAAATCTTAGGAATTTTATCTTGACTTTTTTGTCTTTCTTGATGTTCTAAACAAGTAGATATTTTTATCATTTAGAATCCAAATATACTCCCACAATGTTCTTTCCAGGAAATCTATTGTATAAAGAGATCTCAAATACATATTTGACTGTAGTGGAATGTCACTTCACTTTTTTGCATTAACAAAGATTTTCAGCTAAAGCTCTTTGGCAAAGAAGAACTGAAAGCAACTTTATGACAAAGAACAGATGTTTCTTTAAATGTGTGCTATTCTAAGTGTATGAATAATATTTAGCATTGACTGTTGCAGTTGGAGTGCCATTTATTTTCTTCTACAGCTATAGTTCAGGGTCTTCTAGTGTACCCACTTGAAACCTCATTCTTACACTTTTTTCATATAATTCTATTAGCAGGCATAAATGGTTAAGTATCTGGTACTTAGATGTTTTTATGACAGGGTGTTGTTTTTTTTTTTCTGAAATACCAGTTTTCTCTTGACTTTTAATGCAAAAAGATTTTTTTATTTAAATGTAATAATTCACACATTTTCAAGCAATTTCCATGGGCTGAAATATATTTTCTAACCAAAGATCCATTAATTAAATTTTTTCTGTAATTCCAGTCTGTCAGTTTCTTGATAGATTCTTTCCAGGTTGGACAGCATTGCACATATCCTCTTTTATCAGTTCTTAGTATTTCTTCCTTCCAGTTTCTAAGCATATATATGTTTCTCCCATGTCTTTCCCTAAATTACACAAAAAAAAAAAACCCTTAGAGTTTGAAAGGAGGAAGGAAAAGGTCTTTCCAACCAGTTTACAGATGAACAGAAAAGTATATCCTGTACAGAACCAACTTAACGAACTCATGGTTTTTACATGAAATCTCTAATATAAAGACTTGATTCAGT